GAAAAACAGGTTTGCCTTGGTAATGCATCCTGCAGGATGAGACTCTTGCTCTGACCAGTTCTGACAAGAGCGGAGGGGTCCGTCTCAGAGCAGTGGTCCACTTACACCCTTAATCTGTCTCCCACCGTGACCAGCAGAAGGTAAAAAATTCAGCTCAAGCTGTTAACCACAAGAACATGGGTGCAGCTTCTGGCTCAGAAAGTCCCTAATCTGCAGGTTGCCAGAGGGTGGGACGGTGTAAACACAGAAAGATCTCTCTAAACATGTCCTATTCTTATGTACTTCCTCGGGTTACTGCTGGAGACAGGATCTGGGCTAGACAAGCCTCTGGGCTGACCTACTACAGCCACTCTTGTGCCACGGAAAGAGCACATAAATCTTGCAGGAGGCAGTTGGGAAATGACTTTCCCCAGTTCACACACCCCCATGGGAAAACTGTTTGCTAATCCCCAACAGCTCGATGGCTGGGGCTCGGCCCAGGAAGTGGGAGGTGTGTGTCCCTGCACAAGGACTGGTGATTTTCAAGCCCTCACGCTGGTGTCACTGGGGTTTCTCGCTAGGGACACGATTACTTCTCTCCCACACGGCATGAATGAGAGTTTGCAGCTGAGGGTCCCACAAGCTCTCTGTGCACAGTGCAGGAAACCCTGCAAACCTCCTCCTGCCAAGGCATTACAGGTCTTTAGATGGACATGCTCCTGCAATGAGGTGACACACGGGGAACAGCTTCAGCTCTGGGCTGATCATTACCCTGAAATGCCTTTCCACACCATCCTGATGCAGTACATGAAGCCACTGAAGGATATGACGCAGAGATATTCAGCTCATGGCCTCTTTGGAAGAAGAGAATTGGGGCTACAGAGAGAGACCATAAAGGCTGCTTATGGAAATTACTCGATGTTTTGCAGCCTGTTATGGGAGAGTGGGAAAGGAAAGGTCAGTGAGAAAGCCAGCATGGCTTCACCTGTGGAGAGCATGCGGCTGCTCGGGGTTAGGCAAGACCAGAGTGAAATGGGCAGCTGAGGCAGCAGATTTCCAGGAGCACCCCTGTGCTTTGCAGGAGCTCTCTGCCTCTCAGAGTCAGGCTTGCTTTTGCCAGAGTGGAGGGAAAGGGAAGGGGAGAAAAAAGGCATCAGCTAGCACAGACAGGATCGACCTCTTCTACTCCCTCGGTGGTGGTAGAAACCCCACTTCCCTGGGGCTCTCCACCCTGCCCCATAGCTCCCTTCATAGAATCACAGAATCGTTTAGGTTGGAAAAGACCGTTAAGACCATCGAGTCCAACCATCAACCCCACACCCCCATGCCCACTAAACCATGTCTCCAAGAGCCACATCTACACGTCTTTTAAATACCTCCAGCGATGGTGACTCAACCACTTCCCTGGGCAGCCCGGTCCAATGCTTGACAACACTTTCGGTGAAAAAATGTTTCCTAATATCCAATCTAAACCTTCCCTGGTGCAACTTGAGGCCATTTCCTCTCATCCTATCGCTAGGTACTTGGGAGAAGAGATCAACCCCCACCTCGCTACAACCTCCTTTCAGGTAGTTGTAGAGCGCGATGAGGTCTCCCCTCAGCCTCCTCTTCTCCAGACTAAACAACACCAGTTCCCTCAGCCGCTCCTCATCAGACTTGTGCTCCAGACCCTTTACCAGTTTCACTGCCCTTCTCTGGACACGCTCCAGCACCTCATTGTCTTTCTTGTAGTGATGATGTCTGTCATCACGCACACAGACAAAGTGATTTCAGATTTAACTCCTACAGAGGCCCAAGGCAGCCCCCAGCCTCAGTGTGTCAAGAAGAGACACCCCCCCGCAAAGCCAAGCCAGTACATCAACTGTGAGCATACCTGGGTAATCACAGTGATGGATTCTCCTCTTCTCCAGCTCAGGGTTGTTGCGTCTGTTGTATTTGGGGGGCTGCATGACAATGTGCCCTTGGGAGAGGGTCCCAAGGCCATTGGGGACCGGGGGGACCTGGGATGACTGGACCAACTTCAGTCCAAAAGTGGCTTCATAGGATGGTGGGGGAGAGATGGTGTTGATGAGCTCAGGTTGATTTTCTGGGCTGCCAGGCTGTGAGTTGGGGGGTGAAGGGGGCAGGTTCACCCCTGGAACAGCGTAGAACTGCCCTGAGATGTTGAAGTTTCCCTGTCCCTGGGAGACATGTGGGTACTGCTTAACTGGTGCTCCTGGCTGGACCGGTCTCTGGACCACACTGGACATGGTGTTACCTGTGGACATGGTGACACCACTGAGGCTGTTGATGGCTGTGGTGCTGTTGGAGGAGGATGTCAGAGTGGTAATGTCAGCGCTTCCGTTGCCAAGAGGCATCTGGTAAAGATGGGATTGCTGTGGATTGGTGGATAAGGGGATCTCAGAGGGCATCTCCTGCTTGATAAAGATGTTGTTCACTGCCACTGATTGAGGCATGCTGAAGACACTGGTGAAGTCGGGCAGGGTCTGTGTGGAGCCGGAGGCAGAAGAGCAGGGCTGGGCGAAGCTGGTGCCAGGCTCTGTTTTGATCTGTGGGAATGGCGTCATGGGTTTGGGTGGCCGGTAAAGTCCAGTGCGTAGGTGCGTCGTGTCTGGCAGAATCACATTGATGTTCACGCTGTACGGCGTAGAAGTGGGCTTCTCTGTGGAGAAGAATTCATCCACCACTGAGGCACTCTCCCGGCGGTACTTCTTGTCTGGTATCATTGGGATGGGTGGCACCTCATTTGAAAGGTACTTATCCATTTCAGACCTTGCCTACGGCAAAAAATACAGACAAGGGAATTTGTGAAGAGTGACCTTGACACACCGATGGTGGGAGTCCAGCGTTCAACAAGTACTTAAGCTAGCAGGAAATCATGAGAGCAGCAAGAATGGCCCTGGAGTCACAGGCTGTGGTGATTTAGCTTCAGTCTCTGACTCAGCCACAGACTCCCCAGGAGTGAATCACTGTCCTCTGTCCCACTTTCCTCCTACCTATCTGCATTGATAACAAAGGGTAAGCTAGGCAGAGGATGCAGTTATGAGAGAAATATAGCCTGATAAAGAAGAGGCAAGCTTTAGATACAAAGCTTTGGTCACACAAACACTAGAAATGGGGATGAAATCAGAAACTCTGCTCCAGTCAGCCTTACGCTTTCGGCATGTTGGGTCTGCAGCCCCCCTTAGACATGCTGACTCTGGTTTCCTTTAAACTCAACAGCCTGAGATGTATTGCATGTTATTCTAGGACAATATCTTTAATTAACTGAGAATATTCTAGGACAATATCTTTAATTAATTGAGAATAATTTGGCCTATAGCCCTAGAAATCTAAGTGATGTTGCCACTAATTCAGTGGATCGTGAGCCTAAAATGGAAACTGCCAGGCATACTATTACTGTCTTGTCTTGGTAAAGTGACTCAGCCCTCACCTAACCTTTGGTTTAGTCCTAGTTTTGTAGAGCTGTTTCTACAAGTTTGGGTCCTCCAAGCTCATAGGACCTCTAGCTCAGACAATCACCACTTGCCAGGTTTATTCCCCTCCTGGTTCATGTCTGATGCGGCATCCCACTGGATCCAGGCCCAATAATTCAGCAACCTGATGGAGCAATCCGCTAGGAAATTCATCCCCTGGCATTCGATGACTCAAGTTCTGCTCTTTGTGGTTAAAGATACCAGCGCTAATGCTCTTCTGTAAAGCTACAGCCTTTAATTATGTGGTTATCCATGTGTCAAGCTCATTGCAAAGCCCTCGTAGACTCATTCATATGTAGAGGAGCTGGCAAAACCACCAGGTTTCCCTGGCAGAGCCTACAGCGCACTTCAGGAGAGCAAGCTGATCTCGCCCCACACCCTGCACGCTTGAGCCGAGGGTTTTACAGCTCTGAACTATGTCACTGGAGTGCAATGGGCCAAAGTCATCCCTGCTGCAACTTCATTGCTCTTAACAAAGCTGGACGGGACCCAAGAGATTTCCTCGCCCTTTCCGGCAAAACATATCACCTGTGCTTCCAGCCAATTCAAAGAGCCTTTGCACCTCTGCAAGCCATACTGGCAACGCATGGGTAAGCTGGCTTCCACCCAAATACAGGTACGTGCCACAAATACACCCTCTTCTACATGGTTGGAGGCTCAGAGCAGCTGGACTTGGAAGTGCTACGCTGCACTGGAACCGAGCACACTGCACTGGGACTGTGTTTTCTACGCTGTGCTCGCTGCACTGGTGTGTGTACACACTGTGCTGTAAATCCTAGCTGTCCTCATTGAATGTGCAGGCCCTGAAAAGTCCCTGCCCTCGTTAAAGGAAGCTACATATTGGCACTACAAGCTCACTTTGTGTCACATCCTTACCTAACCGCCTCTGCTCAAGGCAGCGCTGCCTCCAGCAACACCCCCCTGCCATGCTCCAGTGAGGAAACCCTTGTTCAGGCATACCCTAAAGCTAAGGCATCAGCAGGAGATAGGGAAGAGGATCGGAGACTGTCAACTCAGTCCTTGCAGACTGGTCCAAAACCCTGATTTCCTCTCCGTTCCCTCCTGCAGTGTCCAGCTTGGGTTCCTGCCCAAGGGAGAACCACGCCGAAGCTTTGGAGCTGAACCCTGCGTGCTCCTGCCCTGTGCACCCACACTGGCATATTACTGTTACCCTTGGGAGTCAGCTTGCTCTAGGTAGTACCAGAGGCTCTGAATGCCGTACATACCTGAGCAATGAAATGACCCACTTGCCAGGAGTGGGGGCAGGGGGAAGGTGTTGGATGCCTTTTACTTCTACACTTCCCTTATCTCTGGCATTTAACTTTCTCACCTTCAGTTCCCAAGGGAAGGTCTCCCCCCCACAGCTCCAGTGGGTCTTTATATGGCAGCTGACCAGGCAGGTTATTAAATGTAGAAAGGCATGGAGGGCCCTAATTTCAGATCCAAAACCTGCATTCTCAGCCAGAGTCCCCCTGTCCGCTGCCTGCCCCCCTGTTCGGTGTCTCCCAGGCTCCTTTTCTCTCATAACCACCCCTACCTGCAGAGCAAAGTCTTCTTCCTGTCATTCTATCAAAGCCTGATAAATCCACTTCTGATCCTGAGCAGCCCCAGGGTCCTGGGGAAAGGAGGTGTTAAGGGGCAGCTGGTCAGCAGAGTAAAAGCAATGGGCTTTCACCAGACAGGAGAGGATACCAGCCCTGTCCATAGCTGCAGCCCCACCGGTGTGTGCAGGACTGGGACGGTGAGGACCAGAATCTGCTGCCGATTGTGTCACAGGTCTCACACAACCCCAAGGGCCCCAGCATCCTTCAAAGAGGGAGAAAGGGGCACTTTGCTTGTTTGTGGCCCAGAAACACCTAGCAACCTTAGTCTGCTCTGGCACTGCTCATGTTGGGTGCTGACACCCAACACCAGGCCGTTCCCCTAAGCGCCTCCCAGCCGATGCTCTGTCCAAAACCAACTCCTCAGCCCACTGTCAGCACAACTGGGATGACTAAGTGCTGACATGCCTGGGTGGGATCCAACTCAAGTGTCCTGAGTGCAGGTGTCTCTGTCCGGCTCCTTTCAGAGGTGGTGAGGATCCAGTTAACGGAGACACAGAAGCCACGAAGGAGGTAGCTACACAGGCACCCGGGTGGCTTGCACAGATAGAGACACCACGAGCAGGAGGAATGCACCCCGGCTGGCAGCGGGGCTGGAAGGAGGGAGCAGAGGTGCCACCATGTCCTCGCCAGTGGATCTGGGTGGTCTGCACTGGGGCTGGGTGGGCGGGGTCCCAGCTCAATCTCTTAGGGGCTTTAGCGGTACCTCTCACCAACGGGGGCAGAAGCATGCAGAGGGAGGAATGAGGAAAGCGCTTCACCTCGAGAATGAGCGGCGGCATCCGCTGTTCCATCCTCATGGGGTGCAGCTGTGGGACAGACAGGGCTGGG